CCCTCAACCACAATGCCCTAACAACTACCTCGATAACAGTTCCATGTGTTTTGTAAAAACCCTCAACCACAATGCCCTAACAACTACCTCGATAACAGTTCCATGTGTTTTGTGAAAAACCCTCAACCACAATTATATTCTCTTTTACTCTCTTACTATTTTTCTCTTTAGCATTAGATGTCTTTTAGTGCACACTCATCGTGTTAGATAACCAATACATGGTATCAATAAATAATTTAATCTTAATTTTATAACGACTTCAAACAACGAAAATAATTGAACACTCACTAATGACATAAATATAATCAGTATGTAAAATATAAAGTAGGTTTAAAAGTGCCATTGTTAGAAGTGCTTGTGGACAAATCTGGAGATTATAGTATTTGGTTAATTGTTTCTACATAATACTTTTTTTTTCAAGCATGTTCCCCACTGGTACCATTGCTGGTGTCACCAAAAGAATGGGGTCCAGCACTTAAAGGTGCACATACGTCTTGGTTGGAAAAATCTGCAGAGGGCGTTCCACCACTTGCACCATCTGGCTGGTGTACAAACCCTAATTTCCCGTTACGGTAGTCTTCGATTGCCTAGAATGGTTTGAAAAGATATATACGTTACAGAACATTAATATATTCAAATATAAAAAAATATTACATTTCAATAAGTACATCATACCTCAATATACTGACAAAATTTGTTCGTAGTTTAAAAAAAAAAAATCACACCAACGTTTCCATGAGCACAATAATGTATAATGTTTTAAAAATATGCTTCGGTGGACAACATGATCTACCATCATCAGGAGACGAAGAAGAACACACGAGGTTCGCTTATACACTAGAGTAAATATACGTGAACAACTAGCATATTGTACAATGGCGCCATTTATAAAATTAAAGTCCAGAAATTCATTTACACGGCATCAAAGCTTAAATCTCCATTCAAAATCATTATATTTTTTTTTTAAATTTCGAATGCCTCTCTTATATTTAATTTGTTCTTTAAATCCAACTGTTTAATTTCACATTGTCCCAGTCAATGTCACATGAAGAATTCGCCATATGTTTAGTTAAGGTCGAAATATTAATTTTTAATTTATCAACTGCATTTTTATGTTCCAGATGCTATGAAAGTGTCCTGGAATTCTATCTTCTAAACAACTGAACAATATGCTAACTGTACATGTACATTTACTCTAGTATATACACGAAACTCACGTGTCTTTCTTTGTCTCCTGAAGATAGTGGAACATGTTGTCCACTGAAACATAGAAGATGTGTTTTTTTAACATTAAACAAATAAAGTTATTGTGTACATGTAAACGTTGGTATCGTAGTTTTATTATTTTATTACAAGTTACAGGTTTTACAGTAAGGGAGATTTGTTTTTAAATCAGGAACGACGTTTCGATCACTGGTATGATCATTTTCAAGTACACAAGCTTTATCGATATTTGAGAATGATCGCACCAGTGATCGAAACGTCGTACCTTTTCTAAAAACAAATCTTCCTTACTGTAAAACCTGTAACTTGTAGTAAAACAATACTTAATCGGAAGTAAACTCAAAACTAAACTATTTATCAATATTTGTTTAACACTACAGACGACCTCTGAAAAGAAAATCGCAAACATACTGTGAAATATTAAGTATTTCTCAAAAAACATAGTAGGGAAAAGACTACTTAATATTCATGAATATTATACAGTAAATAATATTATCTATAAATGGTGTTCATAATGAATATCATGGTGTGATTTCTTAATAGAAGAAGATTTTTCATATTGAAATAATGTCGTAAAACTAAATTTAAAACGTGAATAAAATTAAGATCCTTATTTCCACACAACATCCAATATTTCCTTATTAAGTTGTTTCTATGTTTTAATCATGTAATATGTCATGTTTTCTTTCTAAATTCTAATACTTGGCCAGGCATACGACTGGAATTTTAATTAAACGAAATTTTCCGTTCCACGTGGAAAAAAATTGAAATATCATCCAAATTTTGCTCATTTTTAATTTCGACCTGATTAAAATTGATTCGAAGTTACAAAAAAACAATAAAAAATACGCACACTTGAATGTGTTTGAAATTGGGAATTAATAAAATACTATACCTGTCGTTTAATTGGAAAACTCACACATAATATACCAGCTTTATCTCTTTCACTACAAGTGTGCCTGATTTTAACTGCTTATCAATGGTTTCACTGACGATTTAATTTTTTAAATTTATTAATACCAATTTTCTTAATTATTTGAATGTGTGAGAATAAGGCAGAAGTGCATATTGTGAATTTTTATTTTAGTTTAATTACATCGTGAAACTAATAATGCTTGGTGATGGCTTGAATGGGTAATGAAGAAAAACTTTAACATAAGTTTAACATAACAGCAAATGTACAACGGTTTCGACAACGTTCTGTCATCATCAGGTGAAACTATTTTATCATTCTACCAAGCACCACGTAAGAAATCCGAAACTCTAACAAATGCCCACCCCTCTTCATACACATATAGTGATAACTTATTCCCCTACCGACAAAAATTTAATAACGCTGCACAAACCAAGAATATTGATTAACGGCTTTGATAAATAATAATTATATTTTGTTATTTATTTTCTTTATAGTTTATCGATTCAAACACAAAGTTCTTTTATCAAGAGAAGGACTCGGGGGGGGGGGGTGCACTACGCTACCTGACTTCATCTGGATTTTTGCATGTCAGCCAACAAAGCTTTTGTTTTCACTTATAACCTGATATGTAAGACGTATAATAGGATTTGGAATAGGAATTTCAAAACTGAAAGGAACCTTATACACATGTGGGCTAAGCGGTTTGGTCAGAAGTATCTAGAGCTCATCTATAGCCGTCCATAATTCGGAGTTAATGATCAAAGACGGTTAGCAGCACCCGCCGCCACAAGGGCTTTGTTTGCTCTTTGAACCAAATAATAGGGCTAACTGTCACTTTATAACGCTCCCGTGGGTAAAAGTGTGAAAACTTTGACGGCATGATGTTTCGAACTTGGACCCTCCAATACGCAGCAGTCCCCCCTCCCCAGTGGCACAGCGGTATGTCTGCGGATTTACAACGCTAAAATCCGGGTTTCGATACCCATGATGGGCAGAGCACAGATAGATCATTGTGTAGCTTTGTGCTTAATTGCAAACAAACAAACAATCCAATACGCAGCCTCCTACTTCAATTATCAGGTCACGCCCGGCCCTGATAACAGGTAAATTATTACCATTTCGAGAAATGCACATTGCTTTTTAAGTAGCCAGTTCTAATTAAGACGTAATATTAAAACTATTTGGCAGTTGACGCTTTACGTGAGGAGTATATGTCTAATGAAATGAGAAGTAAATATAACACAATTCGGGCAGAATTCTAGTTGTCAAGTGCACAGAGCACGATGTAGCAGATATTACTACAGAAAAGAAACCCAGGAATTATTATTTCAGTCAACATCATGTTTCGATACATAAATAAATTTATGTTGGTAACTTCTGATATCAAACAAGAGGTACGGATTTTCTTTTTCTTTTTAATAAAAAAAAATATCTAAATTATCATAACTTCAACATTAAACACATCAGAAACCATTAACATTTCACGACAAACATTAAATACATCATACATTACAGATAGAAAAACAAATTATAGTATAAACATCAACGGTTATTGTTTTATCTTATATGTTTAAAATGATGAATATTTCTATTCGGTTTTGGAAAAAAAGGATGAAAGTTAAAAAAAAAAACGATACTTATAAAACCTAAATGTTGCTTTCGCTTTTACGTCTTTACATTATTGTTCTGAACCATATCGCCAGATTAGACGACACCAAATTCAATAACATGATCTTGGATGTAGTCGATCAGAAGCATCAGAACAACTGATCATTCGAAATTTTGAATCCAATAATAGATGGTATACTTATTAATCACAGAGACCATCAAAGTAACCCTGAACACTCGAATGGTTGTAGAGTTCCGCTACTTTAAAAGACAGCGTATCCATCTACTTTCATACCTATTATCATGCGGTTTCACGCCATAAGGTGGCGAACATTTATAGATACGTAACTAAACAAGGACAAATAAATAGATAAGCTCATAATTCGGAATATAAGAAGATTAAAAAGATATGAAAGTAGACAGATTACTAAATAGGTTGGTAAAGTACAAAGATAATAAGATAGACAGCTAGACAGATGAGCAGTGCACACATATATAAGATAGATTACTAGACAGATAGGTAGAGCACATATATAAGATAAACAGCTAGACAGATGAGCAGGGCACATAGATGAGATAGATTACTAGACAGATAGGTAGAGCACATGTATAAGATAAACAGCTAGACAGATGAGCAGAGCACAAATATATAAGATAGATTACTAGACAGATAGGTAGAGCACATATATAAGATAAACAGCTAGACAGATGAGCAGGGCACATAGATGAGATAGATTACTAGACAGATAGGTAGAGCACATATATAAGATAAACAGCTAGACAGATGAGCAGAGCACACATATATAAGATAGATTACTAGACAGATAGGTAGAGCACATATATAAGATAGACAGGTTAGCAGAGCACATATATAAGATAGACAGCTAAACAGGTGAGCAGAGCACATAGATAAAAAAATAGACAGCTAAACAGGTGAGCAGAGCACATAGATAAAAAATAGACAGCTAGACAGATGAGCAGAGCACCTAGATAAAAGATAAATAGCTAAACAGATGAGTAGAACACATAGATAAAAATTGACAGCTAAACAGATGAGCAGAGCATATGAATAAAAAGATAGACAACTAGATAGATGATTAAAGCACATAAGATAGACTACAAGAAAGATGGTAGAAACAAATATAAGAATATATACAGATGGTCAGAACACACTGATCAAATGATAGATTCATAATTAAACAGATAGGTGGAACATATAGATAAAAAGATAGCTACACAGATGGACAGACTACAAAGATAAAACGATAATAGATAACAAGACAGGAGGGCAAAACATATAATGAGAATATAGGCTAGTAGACAGATGAGCAGATCACATAGATAAGATAGATTGCTCAAACTATGGACAGAGACAAAGATAAAATATGGTCAGAACACACTGACAATATGATAGATAAATAATTAGACATATAGGAAGATCACATAGATAAAAGGATAGACACTAGACAAATGTACAAAGCATACAGATAAGATAAATTCAAGATAGATAGTAGAGACAGCGACAAGAAGATAGACAGATCAATAACTGGACAGATGAAAAGATCTAAATTAAGCTAAACAGTTTGTCCGAACTTATCATTAAAACAATAAAGGTTAATTAGACAGAAGGAAAACTAAAATATTTAAGGAGATAAACTAATCAGTAAAGAGATTGGTAGAACACACAGAAAGAGATACATATATAACTAGACAGACTTGCGTAATACAGAGAAAAGCCAATAGAAAAATAATTAAATGGATGGCTAAAGGACATAGATAAGAAATAATAACATAAGTTAAGAAGATAGGCAGATAAGTAAAGACATTGACAAAGCAGATAGAAAAATGATACAAAATAATATATTCTGGATGTGATAAAAGATCTTTGAAGATAATCCGTATTATTCCTTATATTACTAAACCTAGTTATCATGTCACATGAGTAGTAGAAGAAGAATCAAAATTTAATTCAACTTATATTTCTTGTTCGTGTTCTGCATGTTAGGGAAATAAATTAAATTGGACGTTTCGTCTTCTATGGTTATTACATCAAGTCCTAATACTACAAAAATAAATTTAATCCTATCAAGTAAAAATATAGATAGATAAATATAATCTTTAATCATAAATTATTTCATCAAAATACCTCAAATATATATATAGATTTTCAGCTCAGCATTACTTCCAAGATACAGTTTTAATAATACCCAAAAATCATATTAAACAAAATACGATATCATACAATTACAGGTAGAAAAGATTAGATTGAGTTTGGAAGTTCTTTTAACGACCTATAGACTCTCACTGTACGAATTATAAGTGAAAAAATAGGTACATAAGAGGATAGACACGGAAACAATTTCAAGTGGAAAGTCATCTATTGTACGACAACGATCTGAACTTTCAGCGAATACGATAAAAGAAAATAGTTCGACATTTTAAGAACAGAAAAGATAAATTGATCTGAAATATTAATCAGATTTCTTCTTTTCTTTCGCTTAATTTCGTATTAACATAATTTAATCTTAGTACTTGATCATAAGAAGCTGAGTAAAATAGATACTTATATATATATAAACTTAAGTACTGTACTTATTATTTCAAAATGATGAAATAGCAGATATGGTGAGATTAATGCACTGTGATTTGATAGAAGCAGAAGTCAGTCACAATCCTTACCTGTTGAATTTCTTCGTCTGTAGTCATTACGAAAGGGCCATATCGAACAACAGGTTCATCCAAAGGCTGTCCTGCCACCAAGAGGACATTACACTCTGAAAAACGTAATTATTATCAAAAAACATATATAAATACTTATAACTATATATCGTTCTGAAGATTCATTTAAATTTGTTTGTTTTTAATTTCGCGCAAAGCTACACGAGGGCTATCTGCGCTAGCCGTTCCTAATTTAGCATTGTAAGACTAGAG